AGACAGAGGCTGAGCATAATTTTATCCAAACCGCCTAAAAATAGATTGCTCTTGAGCAGCAGATGAGAGAGGAGTTGCTTCAGCACCAAATTGCCAAAGCACTCTCCTCAGAGGCTTTGTTCCTCTGCAAGTAGAGATTTGTAATTTAAAGAAAAAAAGTCTCTTCTCCACCTTTTCTGCAGTGTTACAGTGATGGAGAAGGAGAATGCAGCTGCTCAGCTTTTACTGCAAAGTTCCTGCTGGGAAGCAATTTGAAGCTGACTTCCTCTTTTTTGGTCCCTCATGAGCCTCACAGACTCAGCAGCACCTGGTGGGCAGCAGCTCACATAGGAGCACAGAGTGCAGGATGCTCCCACGTCTCCATATTTCCTGTTTTTTGTTTTTTTAGTGCATAACTTGAGAGTTAATTGCCCTTTTATCCTTTCTCCAAAATATTTCTTTACAGGAAGGAATGAGATAACTTTCATTTTCTGCTAATTTTAATTACACAGGATCAAGTTCTGTGCCTGATTTGTTTTAACATGCTCTTCACTCTTCGTTTTGCGTAAGGCTCTACTTCTTGTTTTAACATCAAGAGAAAAATCCTCACCAGTTTCAGTGAGCTAAGGATTAGATAGCTGTGCTCTGCAGCCTTTAAGGACCTGAAATTGTGACAGATTTTAACACACAGATCTTTTCTCTTTTGTGCAAGAAAGCACACATCAGGCACTTTGGCAAGTGTGTTTCAATCGTCTTATTCACGCCATGCTCTGCTGCTCAAGCAAGCATATGGCTCATTGTGTTTGAAGTCCCATAAATCTGCATTAGTTTAAAATATATGAATGTGAATCATTAGCCTAAGACTTCAGAGCTACTAAAAGAGCACACAAGTTAAATATCCCTTCCAAGCTTTTCAGAACACGATATGAAACACCACTGCTGCATATTTAAAGTACACCACTGACTGCTCTCCAAGCAACTTTTTGCAGGGATAAAGACTTATTTTGAAGTTGCATTTTTTATTTTTATTTTTTAAAAACAAACCATCCCAGATAAATAGCCTGTGAAGATTAGATCCACTAAACAACAGCATCATCACTTGAATCTAATTTAAACCATTTGTCAGAAACATATTTTAAAATTCAATGAGACCTGTGCAGCCAGCCTGGAGTTCAAGCTATAATTATGCTGCCCTGGGTACAATTAGAATCAGGGGATTAATGAGCATAGACAATTATATTTTTCCCTCTACATGGGTTTTTCATTTCAGATGGAGTTACGTCATTGAAGAAGGTAAAAAGCAAAATAAAGAGAGTTGTGTTTCAGACCACACTGAAGTGAAAAGCATCCACAGACAATAAGTTGGGGTTTTTTGTGCATGAAGGACTTGGCAAAGTTCGGAAATACTTCAAAAACTGTTACTTCTGAACTATCAGAGATAGTTAGGACTCAGGTGCACTTTTTTTTTTTTTAGCAAGGATTATTGTGTTAAATTAGCCATGAAATTTCAGATGTTTAACCACCAACTGAATTAACAACAGCCATTTAATTCAAGTAAAAGGAAAACATTAAAACATAAGAAGGAAAGAAAAAATCCTTCTTTTCATGCATCTTCTTTCAGTTTCAGTTATCCTGTATTTAAACGAAGGGGAAAAAAAATGAAAGGTAATGCTGAAGTGCTTTTCCATTACCTTAATGCTCCTCGTGCCTCAGACCTTTAGGAAAACCTTGCAGTTGTTCCAGCCCTTGCTCTACATTTGGTCACGGGGAACAGAGCAGATAGAGAAAATTGAACTCTTACTAAAGCCACTCTCTCAGTGTATTTTTCCAACCCACTGGACATTTCACCAACAGCAGGTTGAAGGTGAACTAGCAACAGGCTGTAACACAAAGATAATGAGCAGAACCAAATAGGATAAAAGGCAAAGATCCTACAACTTGACTCACACTCCTATCACAAAACAAGCTAACAAAAAAGCCACACCAACAACCCCACCACCACCAAACATCACATGGAAGATCTGTAAAGACAAAGAGTATCCATCTTCTACTAGTTCAGCAGGTGTAATTGGGGAAAAAACACAGACGTGGCTTCAAGCGCATAAATCTCCATACCTTCAGGCCCTTGCAGTTTACCTCCAGGCCAGTATCTCCCCGTTTTCTATGAAGTCCCATTCTCCAAAGCCTGAGCAGCTACTGAACAACATTCCTTGAGGGCAAATGTAGAACTCCTCAAATCATTGTCCAACGTAGATGAGATTTAAGCAAACTTTATAATTAACAGAAGGGTAAATATTAACACCTTGCAAACAGAACAACTGCAGAACATTTCCTTGAGAACATCTTTCCTTCTCCCGCAGGGTAGAGCAAGAAAGTCCTGCCTTAGCTGCAGAACTCCCACGTGGAAAATGGGCAAGAAAGAACTGTACTGAGCAAAATGTGGGGAACTAGGGAAACCTAAACTTCAGAAGGACAATGGAAGAAACCCGACATGCCTGCTTACATGGTTCTCAGCTCCAGATTGCTGGCTGAAGAGGTAAAAAGAAGGGCATAACTACAAAGATTGTTGTATTCTAAAGCAGGGAGCTGACAACACATCCTATATACTAGCTGTCACATAAAGTATGCAGAGCCAGTGAATACAGTTGCAGACTTAAGCCCTGATCACAAGGTGACAGCACCAAAGGGATGAGCATAGACTTGCCTGTAAGCAAGGGACCTATAGAGCACTTTCACGCGTCTGCCAGAAGAGCCAGATGATTTGATTGTAAGTGAAGAAACACTGAGTGCCAAGGTGGAGTTAACCAGCACTCTCTGAAACCTCTACGCTCACTACACAAGGAACTCACTACATAAAGTAACTTCTACCAACCCCCTCCTGAAATCTTCCAGGGAAACCCTCACTAACACTCTCCAGCTAGGGCAGAAGGCAGCCAGGAGCCTTGGCTCTCTGTGCTCAGCTGGCACATGCACATCTCTGCATTTTAGAAGAGCTTCCTACAGCACACAATAACCCACCATAACACATGACAAACTTCCACATCCTTTTTTCCTAATGCTGTTTATTTCAAAGATCTTGTACATGCATGCATCCATACAGTAGACACATTTGAGTCAAACAAATGGTTAGCAGAGCTGAGCATGTAAAGGGGTCAAAAGGAGAAAATAACTTCACAAGGCAAAGTTCTCTGCTGAAATGCTCACTGATTAAAAATTACTAGAGTAATCTCTGGTGGGATATATCACTACCTGCACATAGAAGTCCTCCTGCTTTACTGCCCATGCTTACCATTGGAATAGCATGAGGATTTTTAACAGTAAAAGCAGTAAGGCTATCATTTCCATCTCCCCTGCAAGATGCACGATTCTCCACCAGCATTCTCCAACTAAATCAGTTCCCTTTAAGGTATCTCTAGGTTTCCCCTGAAGCACATACTGCTGACATTCCATTGCACAGGGCTACGTTCAAAATTGAGTCACACCATTAGAAGAAAGTGGAAATGCTGAAGGACACCCTTTGAAAATTTAACATTAACACTGACTTTTTTTCATGCTACCTCTGAGGCCTTCCTGCAGACTGCATGCCAGATAGTTTATTCCATCCAACTTTTAAGTATCTGGGGACTGAGGCTGATTTCAGTAACTCTCCACTAATACATCATGCCTTACCTATTTCCCCCATTAGTAGACAAAACACTGGGTGGGAGGAAGAGGGGTTAACTGGAGGTCTGCTGCCATTCGCATTAATGGCACTAAAACTGCAATTATTAATGCTGTTGTTCAGCTCATTGAAAGCATGCTGGTTCTCAACAGTAATTTTGGTTTGGTGAACAGATTATTTTTTAAAAAATTATCTTGGTACTCTCTCATCTGCAGTGAAACCATTGTGTCTATGCATCTTTTTTTGGGTTTCCTCTTTTCATTGCAGAAATTAGGGGGAGAAGCACAGTTTGTTGTGTCATGTTCTTGGCTTGGACCAAACATACAACAGTTAATAGAAACCTTGACATTTGTTGAGACGAAACAGGAGAAAAAAATCACAGATAAATGTCACACAGTAAAGAATGCAGAAATACCTGCAGAAGTTATTATTAAAGTAGATAAAAATAGCATAAGAAAGCTTTCATGGAAAGCAATTTTGCTTATCACATTCAGCATAAACGTCCAAGAAAAATCAGGAAATTACACACTCCACTGTAGGATCCCATGTGAAGAGCCCAAATTCCAATACTAACTACAGAGTAAGACTGCAACAAAAATTAGCATAATAAAAAACTGGTAAAAAAAAAATAATCACTGATTCTCTCTAATTTCTGCCCGATCACCTTGAGATCATGAGCTGCTCTCTGCTACCAAGCTGAGTCCTTTAAAAACAGGATCACTTTTACCAGGAGTCGCTCATATTTTTTTTATTTGTGACTAAATGCTCTGAAAGAAACATGCCCAAGTATTGCAGTTTAGACAAGAGGTCCACCAGAGCAGCAAAGAGCCTTAAACCAAACAGCTGTGCTAATTGTTTCACCAGCTTTCTGAAGAGCCTCAGTTGAGCACAATATTGAAAAGCATATTCTCCTTGCACCACTGTGAAAGGACTCCCAGCACCTCTCTCAGAACAGCTGAAGCCAAAGCTGTTACTGTTTTCATGCTTTCACTGTCACCACCTTAATACAAATGACAGCACGATCCTCCATTTAGCAACCACTTTTCTTTGCTCTTCTCTGCCGTTTCCTCCACAAGTTCTGATTTACTCTCATTTTTTGATTTAGTTCCTTTTAGTTTCCAACTGTGCACCATTAAAACTCCTCCATTCTAGCATTCTCCTAGATGCTGAAAATTATATTCTTTCTTCTAGTACTTGGCTTCCTACCCTTCTGATCCCTTTTTTGTCTTCCTAGTAAGCCATCTGACCTCTCATACTTTCCCCACCTTTTTCCTTCATTCACCTCCTACTTTCTCAGCTGCTTTCATCTTCATGCTCTGGGTTCCAAGTTTCTCTTCACAAGAGAAATGTACATCTTCTCCTAGAGCCTGATAATGCCTACAAGTCAAACACATCTGTAACCTTACTTTCTGATTTTAGGTATGGATTTTATTTAAATTAGAATTTCCACTTCACAGTATACTGACACAGCAATATCAGAGCTTGAATTACATGGCAAAGGATTGAAGGAATTAAAAGAAATTAAAAGCCACGGCAAAATACTTAAGATGCTTTGCAGTGTGATTAGCTAAAACCATGTAAAGACACAGATGCAGATAGAGATATAGATGTGTATGTAGTCATAGATAGGTATTTAGATGGATATAAACAATCACACAGCATCACCACTTTCCATTACATCCTGCTCTCTGTAACTGTATGGCCTCTTTCCATTAGCAATACCAAACAAATCTGAAAACAGACCAAAGCAGAAGGTTATCCAGCTGGCAGTTTTCAGTTGGTAGGCTGGGGACTGATAAAGCTGCACAACAGGAGGAGACTTAAGGAATCCAATGCTTGCCAATAGCCTTTGTTACACAGCCCATGCATGGGAGAGATGTGCCCAGCTCACAGGTTTAGCAGTGCAGGCTGCCCAAACCTTTTGGTCCAGTCCCACAGAGGAGCCAAAGGGCAGAAGAGAAATTTAGCTTGCTCACATTTATTTTCAAATTTCTGAGTGGGATAGAAAGAAAGCAGCTGGAAACCTTTCCTACAGCAGACTAGATTCTCAAAGCTTGTGCTCCCCTCAATCTACTGGGAACGAAAGACTTACAAAACTCTCCTGTTGTGCTTAAAGATTCCTCCAGCCACTAAAATTCCAGTTTTCTCAGTTGAAACACAAGAAATCACAATAAAAACCAGCAAATTGACTTTACCCAAACCACAGCAAGCAGAGGAGAAAATCTCTAATGATTCCAGTGAAGAAAATATAGCTGTGTTCCCATCTTCCTTGCATCCATCTTACCCCTGTTTAACCTCCTCTCTGGAACTCCATGAAGACAGCTGCCTGTGCGAGATCACTGGCTTAGCATGTGTACTTTGCAGATGGTCTCAAGATGCTCAGTGCAGCAAGGTTTCCACACAAGGCAGCACACAAACCCTTCCTCGGGGCACTGATTGCACTCTTGGACAGCACAAAGCTTACACAAAGGCTTAGACATACATGGGAAGTGCTTTTGCTATCAGCAACAAGCCCCTTTAAGGTAACAGCAGCAGCACATCTAACCTGCTGAAGCCCTGGGGAGGTACCCCCGAAAATCCCAGTTGCTGGGCTGTGTCACAGCACAGCCTCAGTTAGTTTGCATGCTCCACATCCCTCACTGTCTCAGCCATGCTCTGAGCTCTGCTTTCATGTACCTTCTCACTCACACTAAATGTCTGAAGTCAAGACACTGGTCTCAGGAAGATTATTTGCTCATTTGCTCAACATTTAAAACAGCCTATTTTCTGCTGGAGTGGAAGTTCTGTTGGCTATTTTTTGTTATTAAATTACTAGTCATAGATTACTAGTCATTCATACATTACTACTACATTCATTACTAGTCATGAATCTGATTGGTATAAAAGCCAGTATCAACAGCAGCTTGGATGTACAGCACAATCACCTTTAAGATACATAATTGAATTGCCACACCAAAGAAATTCTTCATGTTTGGTCTTAATATGGAGAAATTATGGGAGAAACCCTGTGAGGGAGAAATACAGACAGGAGCAAGCTCCACCAAGAGCAGTAGATGGGAGAAACTGAAAGGCAGCAAAAAGCTGTGGGTGCAAGGTGGGTGAACAAAACTGGCATGAAGCAGCATATTGTCATTCTATCCACAGCTCATCCACTAAACATCTATCAGCTCCTGACAACCTTCATGACATTGACTCCCACTTGCAGAGCCAGGTTCAGGAAGGAGACATGTTTGCACACTAGCATGGTACAGGTATTGTTGTGCCTTTACCCTGCTGTTGCTTTGTAGTCTCGTGGTGTAAAGGTGACATAAGAAAAAACTATATTTGATGATACATCAGACAACTGGGAAATAAAACAGTTGAGGCCTGACAGAGACAACAATGAATTTTTCTGCATTTGCAGTGTCAGAATAGATAGCAAAAATCAAGATCAAGCAAGAAATTTACACTAAATAATTAATTTAGACCTCTCAGGCTTGTTGAAAGATATATCCTTGGGATAAAGTTAGTAACATCTGAGTTTTAAATGTATTCAGCATTCAAATCTTCCACCTATATACACATTTCGCCCTGCTAAGGTCTGAGAGCAGATAATTTATGCAAGGATACATATACAACGCTACTGTTTCCCTTAATTATGGCTACAAATGGAGAAATAATAAACATTCACATCCTCTCCTCTCTACTTATGGGAGATGGTGGCCTAAAAACAGCAAGCTCCTCTTTGTTGCCTTCTGTAAATTATATCTCTTGTAAATTATTTGCTCTTTCTTAGAGATAAGACAAGATGCAAAACCAGCATGCCTGTACTGCCCAGGTGCTGTGTTTTATTTTATTTCTGTCAAACATTTCCAGAGCTCTGTGACAGCAATCAGCTCACCTTACCAGCACATGGATTAAAGATGGGAAGACAGGTAGGAGCAGACTAGAGGAGAAAGGAACACTAAGGAGTCTTCCTAACACCAGCAGCGTGCTTTCATGTCCACAGCAACTTGCTGTCTGCTTACTCCCATTTGCAGTGGCTACGATGCAGCAGCACGCTCTCTAAGAGACAATTCCTTTGCACACTCACTGCTGTTAAGCTTTTGTTCATGTCAACACTACTGTGCTATGTTAAATCAAGATCCCACATTTCTATATAGGTTAATTTAATTCATTCTTATTAAATAAGGTTCACAAGCTCCTCTACATAACAATAAACTCTCATAATGAATAAAATAGAAAGATTAATAATAAAATCACATTATTTGATCAACCCCCAGTAAAACTTTTTAATTGAATATTCTCAAGGAATATGCATCCATTTGCACTTTCTCAGATTAATTAATTCTCCATAAGCAGCTGAGCTTTGTTTCTGCTCTTAGTAACCCACAGAAAAGAAACAAAACTACTCATTGAATTGCCCATATTCAATTGCACTTGCATCCTCTCAGCATTGGAATAAATGCTATTAAGCGCCCATGATAGTTTGTCCAATACTCACAGATTGCTGTCTTCTTTTTTCTCTTTCACCCAGGTGTAATACTGTATCACAAAATGCCTTAAAAGAAAAACAGAATGAGAAGTGATGTTTTTGCCATCATATTCCACCTTATTACAGCACATTTAAAATTTAAAGTTACCTGCCTGTTAAGATCAGCTTAGACAACAGTAAGCTGAAAAATAATTATATGCATATAGATATAAATGAATCCGTATATGCAGCCAAGGAGAGTGTTTTCAGAAGACACTTAAACAGTTTCTGAAAATCCTAAAGGAATGTGTGGAAGCCCAGCAATAGCTGCTCGTTTTCTAGGTATCATATGGAGCCAACAAAGACAAATCTAATCTTCTGGCTTTAACTGATACTCAGGTCCTGTATCATCACCAATAACATGTAATTGAAGCAATGCCATCACCAAGTTGAGAATAAAGCCCCCCTGCCCATGGTTTACAAGTGTTGGACCCTGCTGGCATAACATCCCTCCCTTCCAATAGAGAGCTCTAAGGAACCTCTGACAGGAACAACTCAGCAGAATTTAACTTTTTTTTGTTCCTCCAAGGCAGCATAATCCAGCCTTTAGCAATTAAGATGCCTCCTCTCTTCCCAGCACATTCAAGTACAAAACCCTGCTCTGATATCAATAGGAAAATACTACGATTAGCACTGATTGGTTAGTAACAAATCTCTGTGGAATATAAGAAGCCTAATCACAGCTTGAAACAGTGAGATACACAAACATTCATCTGAACATGAGAACTCAGCAAACCTGCAACCAGCTCTGCACAGACTTCAGCTAACTAAGCTCATGCAATCTAATGGAAAGCACAACAATAACAGCAGAGTAGCAAGCTACAGCAAGCAAAGACTTGCTTAAACACAACAGCGATAAGCACAGGAGGAGGAGAGAGAAGGAGAGGAAGAAAAAAAAAAAAAAGCTGCCTACCTTCAGAAGACCTTACAGACAAAGAGACAACCAGCAAGACACCTTTGCCTCCACTGCCAACCCTTAAATGAGGTCTGGGAAGGGGTGGATCCTGGATCCTGGCACCCCTTCTGGTCAATCAGTGCCTTGCTTGCACCTGAGATCCTCTGGGTTGGCCCTGCCTTCCTACCAGGTGCTCAATCACTGCTTCTAGCTGTGACTTAGCGTTTCCACTGCAGGTCATATAACCAGGATAGTTTGGTGTATGGCTAATTAGCAATGTTATTTAACTTCTGACATCTGTGAGGATAAAGAACTTCTTGTATATTTACGTTGTTTGATAAAGCATTGTGATAATTTCTGAAGCCAATCCACTGCAGCAACAACTCTAAATTGGAATAGCCAAGCAGTATACCATATGCAGTACACTTCATGTTTCTTACAAAGTCTTCTGACAAAACTTAGCCATGGTAATAAGTGCTAACTCTGACTCAAAATGAAAACTGAAATGTTTGTGTTATTACTCTGCTGATGCATTGAAGAAAGGGAAAGTACTTGTATGACAACTGTTGAGTCACAGCCTGAACCACTGATTGAACACCTGGGGAAAGGACCTGGTCAGCCCTGGGAGCACAGGTGAAGGCAATTGATGTGTGAGGCTGGAAGGGGTGGAGCCTGGCTGCACCTCTCTTAGACCTCATTTAAGGGCTGACTGCCACTCTGTTGCTTCCCTTGTGGAGTCTTTTCTGCAAGCCTAGCTCTTTAGAGGTAGGTGAGCACCTACACTTTTCTTTTGAAATAGCTTCTTATCTGTGCTGGTCTCTTTGTTGTTATGCTCCTGTATTACCCTTCCACTTTGTTAATCTTTCTGATTGTAATATGCTTCACATGAGAAGTGGGTAGAATCAGCTATATGTAGGCAGATCAAAGTGTATATATAGGTGAAAACTAGATTAAGGACTCTCTTAATGTATTTTAATGTATTTGGCTAATCTTGTGGAGAAATGACCCCAATTCAAATAGGGAGAGTTAAAGTTTTTATGGTGAGTCAGGAATCAACAACAATTTATACAACTGAAGGAATAACTGAATAGCTCATTATGTTGCAGGAAAAGTTTTGAGAACTACAGTGAAACACAAATTCAACAACAGTTAAAAATATTGTGCTGGGAAGTACAAGCAGGGGTATCATTTATAGTTAACTGGTATAATCCCTCTGCTGTTTCCAAGATTGGTGAGGTCTTTGTGTTTTGTCCAGTTTTGGGCATCATACTTCAGGGAAGATCAACTTGAAGACTTTAGATGGGAATTACTGAAATGCTGTGAAATGCAACACACCAGGAAGGTCCAAGGTAAAGCCAAGAATTCAATCAGCAGACGGGTGAAGAGAGGCAATAGTCAAGTAAGGCAAGGTTTGGGTGGAGCAGGAGATCAACATCCCATTGCTGGGAAGGGGCTCCAGGTTAAGCTAAGAAAGGTGGTCTTGGCCTCTGGGAAGGTCAGGGTGGTTCAGGCCACCAGGCTGTGGCAGGTAGAATGTCCTATGGAAATGATGGACTTCTTCAAATGAAGGTTATTCTAACTTCTACTAGGAAAGGCAAAGGCACCACAGATCCAGCCTCAGAATGAAAGGAGAGGCCTCAGCTTGCCTTCTTTATTTTGACTTCTTAAGATTGATTCCATAGGTCTTAATTATTTTACATCTCTTGTGGCCTATGGTGATTCCTCCAGTAAACCAGACACCAAGAAGAGGTGCTTTGGCCAGAATGGAAAATATCACACCACAGATCATAAAGGTCCAGCATCAAAGAGCAGGAAATATGTTCCCAACTTCTGGGTCATATATATGAGGGATTATCAATTTACATCCATAGGCTTTCAATTATATTTATTATTCCATCATTATTTTTCCAATAACTACTTTTTCAGTTTAGATAATCTTCCTTCACCTTTATGTCTATGCTCTATGCAGTTAATATAAATATAGTGAGTATATGAATACTATTGGATTACCTGTTTCTATATAGTTGAAAGTAGATTATTTCTTCAGCTGTGCTTCCTTTGGGCCTGAAGAATGACAGTTTTCATACTCTGATTGCTCACCAAAGCCAGACCACTGTAGCCAAAGAAATATTATGCATAAATGTCTAACGGGTTTAAAATTATACTTAGGTCACACACCTATGAAATTAACATCCTTCCAGATGTTCAGAAGGCATCATTTCCTGCAGGCACACCATTAATTTTACCTATGATTTTTATAACTTTTATCATCACTATTTGCTTCCATCTTTCTACATTTTCCTCACGAAACATTTTTGCTATAGTCTTTCTTAACTGTACTCACCTGTATGCTTCAGGAATCCAGTTAACCTAATATCACCAATGCTTCCTATACATCCAGCTCCTTATCAGCACAGTGCACTTGAAAACAAAACAATGCCAAAGTGAAGTCCAGCTCAAATGTATTTGGGCCTAATTTGGGATTACATAAAATGTTTATTTCCCAGAAGACTTATTTGCAAGTATAATTAATACTGGACATTTTTTAATGGATGAATGAATTGGCTCGAGTTTTTAGCTCTGGTGTGTATTCAAATCGGAGTGGTGAACTTGTTTATACTTTTACATTGACTTGGATGAAGATGCTGAGTTGTGATTTTTGAACTAATGTTAGTATTGAAATAGGATACATAGTAATCAGGACTTTTGATAGTATCATTGACTAACCCAGCCATTGTTTCTTGTCAGAATGACCAAAGGAGCCGCCAATCTATGTGTAGCAGGCTACTTATCTTTTTCATCTCCAGACAGGTCACAACAGATTAAACACTGGGAAAAGCAGGTGGAGAATCACTGACAGAAGTTGTAGCTTCACCTAATGACTTGCTAAAGAAGTTTCTGCAGTGCTCTGCCTTTGCTATGAGGAGAAACCTAGAAGAGTTCCTTTGCTTCCAGCATCACTCAGCACATGATGAGAAATATCCTGGCTCTGTCTTACTAGCTTTATTCACGCTGATTTTGTATAGTTAATTAAAGGACTACAGCAAACTTGTGTCATGGGAAACAGGTTGGTGCCTTTTCACCACTGCCTCATATTCAGACAATCAAAGAAAACCAAGAACAAGAGAAATATAGTACCATATGTTTTCTGTTCATGTTTTCCTGACTAAGGAAACCAAATGGCAGGTAGTGGTTTTGGACATAATGGCCACTGATAGTCTGTATGGGAAGAAGATGGCAGACTTCACTCAGCTATGTCAAAGTAGTGTGTAAGTAATGTGACAGTATTTGCTGCACTAGTAACATTTCACTATGGGATCAGGAAGGGACCTGGATATTCCTCCCAGCATTAAATGCTTTGCTACCTGGATTCTCTTAGCCACACCACAGAGAAAAGAAAGCGGGTTTGTGATTTTTCTATTAATGATGGGAGAGAACTGAGTTGCTGTGATTATTTAGGTGTACACTGTGGTTAATTCACATCTCAGGAATGTCCTCTGATTACTATTTTCATGCACATTCTTTCACTAATAAAACATTCGAGTATGCCTGTACATCCACGTTTCGAGGGGGAGTCCGTGAAATGCCGCCATTCCCTGCTCTGGTGGCGCCACCTGGCGGCCGGCACGAGCCATGCAACCGAGCTCGTGCCCGGCGCGACACGCGCTGTGCCTGGGCTGCTGCTCGTTCCCAAGGTATCGCAACAACCGAAACGAGACAAGCGCTTCTGAGGAATGCACAGCCTACGGCTCTTTCGTATAACGGCTTTCAAGCAGTACGATGAAATGAAAACGTACCCGATTAGCACTGATGGAAGACCCACTTGGCTGGTTGTTCTAAAACCTGCTTTGAAATCGTACAATTGCAGTCTCAATAACATCCTGCTTGAACTTCTCATCGCTTTTATGTCAAACTAGACAATTCCCTACTAGGCTCCTGCTTTCTCTCACAGCGCTTTTATTGTGATCGAGGCCCTTCTTGCAACGCTGAGCAACGAAATGCTCAGTTCCAGCAGCGTGCTCTCAGCAACGCATTCGCTGCCGTTGTTCCCCTGCGGTTGTTTGTAGCGCCCTTCATTGTTCGCGTTCAGTGAGAAACCACCCCAAGAAAAAAACACCAACGTTTCTTGCTAAGTGTCTTTTGGAGCCCTTCTAATCTTTCCTCAGATTTCTAAGGAGGCTCTGCACCAGCTAAAAGCACAGGACGGGTGTTTCTGGCCCGCAGGCGGTTCCTTTGGCTTGCTACCAGCCCGCTTACCTCGGTGCCCCGAAGTCTCGCAGGACGCGGATTGCGGGCAGATTTATGACCCGCGCCTTACAAAGCTGTTCCCTCGGGGCGAGCTACACACCCGCAAGCCCCTTTCTCGGCGTTTTCGGGGGCTCGGTGTTTTGTGGGTGCAGAGCCTCCGTAGCCCCGAGCTCCTTAGAGGAGCAGACATCGCGCTACGACCGGACCGGGCGCGAGCCCAGACACGCGCCGCACCACGCGGCCCCAGAGCAGGGCGGAACCCCCGAGTCCTGATCTCTCCTGCGATTGGCTCCCATCCTCCACCAATCCCCTCCTTCCCGCGCGGCGAAAAGCGCCGGGAGGGGCGGGGTTAGGGGCAGCCCCGCCTCCTTCCCAACGGCCGGCAGCCGGGCGGGCGGCGGATTGGCGCGTGGGGGCGACGGCTCCTCCCCCGCGGCGGCGGCGCGGCTTGGGGGCAGCCATGGCCATGGGAAGGGCGGGCGCGGCGCGGCCATGCAAGGTGCGTGCGGGGCGGCGGGCAGGGCGGGCTGCGGCGCGGCTTTGGGGGCCGGCTGAGCCTCTGGGCTCGGCCGGGACGGTGGGGGCTCGTTGGGAGCGGAGTTAGGCTGCGGTCCCTCAGCCTCACCTCCGCTGGCCGCGTCTCGATGAGGAGCTTTCCATCCCCCCTGAAAGCAGCGGGTGAAAACGGTGCATAACGCGAAAGCGAGCGGGTGTTTGTGTGTTCCTATCACCAGCAGGCGCTGTCTTCTGGAAGGCTGACGGGAGCAGCAAAGCAAAGCAATGGAAGGAAACAGTAAGGCTCGAATCGCGGCTGCTGAACAAGTAGCTTTGGAATTATTTTTTGAAGTAGTACGAACAGTGAATTTGACCTTTTTCTAGGCTTGGCTTAAGAAAAGGATGTCGTTCTGATGTGGAGGATGCATACTGTCACTACTCCACTGATTCAGACGATCAGGTAATTTCTCTGGCTTCTTAATGCAGTCGCATCTGTTATCTAGAGAGAATGGAGACTGGAATAGAATCACAGTTGGAATTCTCAGACGTCCCCAATGAGGGCCATCCAGTCCAACTGCCCTGTAGTGAACAGGGGCACCACAGATACATCAGGTTGCCCAGGGCCTGATCCGGCCTCGCCTTGGATGTCTCCAGGGACGGGGCATCAAACACAACACCAGGCAACCTGCTCCAGTGCCTCACCACCCTCACTGTAAAAGACTTTTTCCTTATATCCGACCTAAATCTACCTTGCAACAATTGAAGAAAAAAAAAATGCCAAATTAGATACTGCTGGATGTGGTCTAGAAGAAGCTCCTTCAAAGCCACTGAGAGTATTTATACAGAGCACTGTGGATACTTGCAAATTGTCTCAGCAGTAAGTTTGCCTCTGACAGCTTGTTAAGGCATAGAACGTGTTGTGTGAACACACCTCTGCTGTTTGTACTGCCAGAAGTGTAACCATGTTATGCTTTGTGACATGAAGAATAAGTTGTATGAAAGCAATGCTGCAGCAGAGCTTTATGTGTAGCGCTGAATCGATTATTTCCAAACTTAGAAATGTACTGTAGGTAATAGTTTAACTGTAAATGGAAGCAACTCAAACAAACGCACGTGCAGTTACCAGCAAATAAAATCAAACAAATGTGCACACATGTAACAATGCAATTTAAGCTTTTTGCAAATTTTCTTGTGATTGCAAAGTGATACATTAGAAACTAAACGTTTTTACCTATGATCAATGTTTTATGATTATTTTTAAGATAACAGAGTGGGGAACAGCTCCCTCTGAAAGGGCTCTGTTTTACTGAAAACAAGCAGTGATGCTCATTTTCTGACTGAGGTATTCTGTATGCAGGTTAATACTATTCATAATGGACTTGACCGCTGTGCAGCTTTACTGAAGAATATCCTAGAAAATGAAGCTACAGGTTGTAACTATTGAGAATTTAAGTTACGTTTTTAGTTTTTGTAGGGCTGTTGTGACTTGTTTTGTTGACCAGCTTTTGTATTGAATGCAATAGGAAAGGAGGCTATCCATAAACAACCAGGGAAATCATCTGTTAAAATTACTTCCAAACCTTTCCTAACCAAAGCAAATACTCTGAAGAAGAAAGGATTGAAGAAAAGCATTACTGCTCCCCACATCCGAAAAGAAATTGGTAAGCAGATTTCCTCAGGCTTCCTTTTTTCTCGAGTAATACTGAGAGGCTCCATGCTTCTTTATTGTGTAGATGCAGCAGACAGAATAAAACACTCAGCTGAAGTTCTCTTTCTTTAGTGCCAATATTACCTAAGAAAAATCTTTCATCTACCACGCCATCTACTGAGAAAGAGCTTCCCAGTGCAGTACAGCACCAGCTGATTCGACCAACTCATGTGCCTTGCAGCCAGCAATCTCCTGTCATACGTGAGAAATTGTGTGAGCATGTGCCGACCCAGATGGCTCTGATAACTGGCCAGCCATCACAGAGCAATAATGAAATTCCTCCTGTGACTTCGTTTCCTACCTCAGATCATGGTTAGTTTGACTATCAATATAGGGCTTGCTGTTGTACTCCAAGTTTTGCCCCAGGTTGCCCTAATCTGTGACAGCATTGTTTTCTTTTAGGATATTAAAATGTTACAGATTTTAATTACCAGTTATCTGTCTCCACAGCAGACCTGTCCCTGCAGCATGCAGCTCATCCCTTATCTACTCAGGCTGTAAGTAGAAGTTTGATTTAGATTATTAATAAGCATTTGAAAATAGCACTATTTATGTATACACTGATTTGTAAGGATTTCATTGAGTTTATGTAATTCCTTCATTATGAAAAATCTCAGTCTATTTCAACCTGTACTGATGAAAGATGATGAAAAAATACTGCAGTTCAAAATGTTATGTACATGGATACCAAAGAGTAAAATGGGAGGTGTTTCAAATAGCTGTTTCTGTGTGGGGAATTCTGTAATGGACAGGGAGCATGAAAGGTGTAGGCAATTGCTCATTACTGTTCAGAATTATATTATCAGTAATGCACATAAGAATCTCTAACCAACTCCTCATTAAAGAAATTGTATCTCATATGCAGCTTTTCCTCTACTAATGATCTAAATAATTATGTCTTCAGATACTGAGTAGTATCTTAGAGCCACATTTTAAAATCTGTGTGTATTTCAGGGCATAAAATAAAAGTAATGGAGAGTACCAGCAACCACCTTGGGAAATGTGGTAATGGCCTTGCAGTTTGGAACTGGAAGGCTGTAGAGTTATCTTCCACCTGTAGGCAGTCCATGTAATTAGTGCTATCCTTGACTTTTTAGAAATACATCAGTTTAAAATATTGAGACAGAACTGTTTTCTTTTTATTTTTTCCCTGTTCTGATTTGGTTTCAAGGGATGAATAATTAGAGGAAAAAAAAAAAAAAAGCAACAGCTGCTGAGTTTTTTTTTCTTACACAACAGAGATTAAACTGCTTTAATGTTATCAGTGATGTTTAAGATCGAATGTAAATCATGTTAATTCTCTGTTTAAAATGAATCTTCTTTATGCAGGGTGTTCCTATAGACAGTGGCAATGAATGTGTGCCACAGATGGGAGAAACTGTGGTTTTCCCCATGGTTTCTGCTGCTCCCACTCCTGCACAAATACAGGCTGCCAGTTCCCTTCCTGGTGTGATGCGTTATGTAGCATCAGGTGCATCAAGTAATTCTGCAGTGCCTACATTCACCCCGCTGTCTTCTGGCAGAGAGATGATCCCAAGGCAGGAGCAACGGAGTAAAGAAGCAGACTTGATAAGGTGCATAAAAGCTCACCTGGCCCTGTTACAAACGCGTGAAATGGCAAATGGCAGGACTGAACAGAAGCTCTGTCATTGTCTGACAGCATGTAACGTCTCAAGTAATGATGGGGATGCTTCTGAAGAACACAGTGAGGATGTGGTCAGCGAAGGTGAATTGAATGTGCTTGATGTGGCCTCAGCAAGAGATGCAAACAGCCAGCAAAGCTATGTGAAGAAAGGTCTAAAACCTAGACCAGAAAGTGCAGATAAAGCAGCCCATAAAGTAAAGATGGTAAAATATCTTTTGGGAGAACTCCGAGCACTGATAGCAGACCAAGGTAAAAACATTTTCACTGTGCACTGTAGTAATTATATGAAATAATGGAAGAGTTGCACTAAGTGAGCATGCGCTTCAGTGTCTGGCATGTATGCTGTCTTGGAGTGGTGTTCCACAACTTCAGTCACTTCCTGCTTCACCATGGGGAAGTATGAGGTTACATTTTGGGTTATTGTAACGTTGTAACAGCAGGGATAGAATGGTTCTTATTTTGTATACATTGTTTTCCCGCCAAAGGGAGCAGTGTGGACAGATTATACAACAGCAATCCTACAAGGGTTGGTCTGAGAAGTGTTGGGTGGTGTTGTATCAAGATGCTGAAGCATAGCTTTCATAGTCAAGTGTTAAAGTTTCAAATAAATAAAGATAGTTGGTCAGTTTTAAATTCTTTTTTTGAAGTTTGATTTAGAAGAAAATGAGATACTATGGCATCACTTTGACTGTTCTATTACAGGTATTTCTTTTTCCCCCACCTCTTGCAGATGATTCAGAAACGTTAAGGTTGATGAATGAAATAGAAGACTGCATATCATTGCTGCCAGCTGTAGTGGGAAGTACAAACATACAGACTGAGATAGCTCTAGCTTTACAGCCTCTCAGAAGTGAAAACGCCCAGCTGCGTAGGTTAGTGATTGTATTTACTGCAAAAAGTGCCTGAAAGATCTTTGGTCTGTTCTAATTTGCATGTTCTAGCATTGCTGTGGTGTAAATGTTGTGGCCCTTTCTATTTTGTCTGTGC